CGCCCCCTCCGCCCGCCGCGCGCGCCCCCGCCTCCCCAAGGCCCGCGGGCGCCGCTCTTAAAGGGGCGATGGCGGGTGCGCGGGTGGGGCCTCCGCTGGGAGCGCACGCGCAGTGCCCACTGCGGGGAGTGGGGCGGGGCTACACAGAAACCGCACGGAAACGGCGTCCAAGTCTCTGTCTGCCGGGAACACAGCCACAGGGTCGTAGCCACGCTCCCGGTTACAGAACTCGTCCCAAGTGAGCAAAGCGATAACCACTCCCAGCCCCAAAGGTGAAGACACCCACACGGATGTCACCCCAGAGAGCCACCCATGCTCGGCGCTGTGGGAACTCACGCACACACAACCGCATCACAGCTCACGGTGACCCCGACAGAACGCACACCCAACTCTCCCCGAGAGGCCGTAGCGGTGGCCGGGGTCTGCTGGCACCCTGGCTGGCTGGGGTCGAAGCCTCAGGAGTCTCCAAGCGCTGGGTCTCCCTACGCTACCTGAGCCGGCTGGACGCTGCCGCGTGCCCAAGAACACTGTAGGGGTGCTGCACTCGCGGCGCTGCTGCGCTACCCCACTGTCCGGGTGCCATCGTAGGCGCACCCTGGACCCCCACCTTTAATGGTCCTCTAGCGGGAACTAGGAGCACCCCATTCCCCCTGCTGGACCCGGGGGACAGAAGCAGGGAGCCTGGGAGCCGGATGACTGGCGGGGGAGGCATGGATTTCGTGGGAAGTGTGTGGACGGGACTTGGGGACACGGTGGAAGTGATCGCTTGCCACGGTGTGCCCGCCAGCGTGTTGGAACACGCAGTTTTATGTAGAAGCATGTGTGCATCTTTCAGGGGATGGCTGGTTCCCAAATAAGCCATCCTTGTCCCCGGAGCAACTGTGCCTAGCCCGGCTGCAGCAGTTGTGCGTGCACGCTTGTCGCTCGGTGTCGGGTTGAGCTCACGAACGCGTGTGCAAGTGAGTGTGTGCGCCTGGGGGCGTATAGCGCCCAGATCCTCTCCCCGTAACTGTCGCCACCGCTTCCCGCATCGGGCACAAGGCCGCCATCCCTGCCCAGAGACCGCGCGACGCCCCGCCCCAGCCAGGCTGGCGGGAAGCCGGAAGGGAGGGGCAGGGCAGGCCGTCTCTCGGCCCACTGGGGGGCGCAGCCTCCCCACGTCCTGTTCGGCTCCCGCCCCTCCCCCAGCTTGCTCTAGGGACCTTGGGGGCCTGGGCGTCGGGGACACCTCCCAGCCGCCCCCACCACCCTTCTCGGCACCCGCTGCCCACGGGGACTTGGAGGCGTATCTCGCCCAGGCTAGCTCTGAAACTGCAGCGCCCGCCCACCCCACAGACTTCCAAGTTCCGTGGCTCGCGGATCCCGTGTCCCAAGCCCTGTCCTTAAGGCAGTGTTTGTCTCCTCACTTCCTAAGCACTAATTGAGCGCCTGCTGTGTGCGGGGCCCGGGGAGGCCCTGGCCAGCACTGACTAGTCCGTTGGAGGCGCAGGGACCGTGTCAGCGAGGCCCAGGCGGGCGGAGGGAGGGATGGCAGCCGGTGTCCCCAGGAGGCGCAGCGGGCGGAGGGAGGCGGAGGTGCTTGCTGCTCCGATGCGGGAGGCTCTGAGCTGCAGTGGCGCGCGGTTGTCATGGCAACAGGGAAGGATTTTCCCAAACACCGCCTTGGTGTTTAAGAGCAGTCGGCTGGAGCAGCCCCAAGTGGCGTCCCGGAGTGGAGCTGTGCGCACGCGCAACCCGACTGCACAGAGGGGGTTCCCTCCCACTCAGTGGAGGGGGATGGGGAGGAAATGTTTTCAGTGGAGGGAGGGGGATCTGGAAGTAGAGGTTGAGATTGCAGTCTCCGGACGTCCAAAGGTTCTGGGGCAGGCACAGGTGCCGGCATGGAGGCCCACAGAGGGGGCAGGCGTACCTGGCCAGCAGACCCTGCATCCCCCAAAGACCTAAAGTCTGGCACTACAATAATAAAGGTGAAACGTCTCAGACGACAGACTTGTCACCCCAGCACTCTAGAGGCTGATGCAGGAGGATCGCGGAGAATTCCAGGCCAGCCTGGGCCACACAGAAGACTCAATCAAATGAGACTGCTGTCTCTTGTCTCTCTTTGTCTTCTCCAAATCGGGTCATAGAAAGTGCAGCCCTGCGCCCTGAAAACAAACTCTAGCTCCTGGAAAGGCGGGGTGGACCTCTGCTCCGTGGTGAGTGTGCACCTGTAATGCGCGAGGCCTTGGATCCCATCTTCAGCGCGGCCAAACAACACCTTCGTAAAAGTCTGCTCTTCGGGGCCGGGGAGATGGCTCAGTAGGATAAGCGCTTGACTGGCAAACGCAAGGATCGGAGTTCAATCCCCGGTTCCGCTCTTCCCCCTGACTTCCGGGATGAGCGCCTCTCCAGAGCATCGTGCCAAGCGCAGGGTCCTGCCTCCGGGCTGCGCGTGGAGCTGCGCCCCTGTCATCCCAGCACTCAGACAGAGGCAGGGAGATTGCAGGCTCAAGGTCAACCTAGGGTGTCCTGGCCGGCAGCCCTGGGGATGATTCAGGGGCGAGCCTAAGGTCCTCTGGTGGCCCACAATCTCTGCCGGCTGGCCTTCCCCCCCCCTTCCCTTCCACTGTTCCCTCCCCCTCCGGGCCTGCAGGCTTCCTAAGCTAACCGAGGCTGGCTCTGTCACCATCGATTATCACTTGCCCCAGCCTGTGCCACCATCCAGACCCGCAAGGACTGAGGTGGAACCCAGGCGCCCCGCCTCCTCGCTCGCTCGAGACCTGCGAACCTAGACAAGGGACTGGCGGCCTCTGCTGGCCCTGCCCGGTTGTGTGTGGGTGGTGACCGCAGCCAGGAGCCCGCCACACTCCGGGACCCCGGTTTCCTCTCAGAAGCTGTAATTATGGGTAATTTTCTAAATGCAACACGAGAATTAAAACCCAAACAGCTGGTGGCCCCAGAGCTTGGGGGCTGGGCAAGGGTCCTTCCACTCCCCCACCGGCTCCTGGAATGGGAGCCTAAACCTGAGCCAAGCCCTGTGGGTCTGGATCAGCGCCACAGCCGGGCCGCCGTCGCCGCAGCCTCCCTAGCGCCTTCCGCTGCTCCTGGGGCCCGAGACTGAAGCCACGCACTCAGTCCTGTGCCCGCAGCGCTCCCCGGAGGATCAGGACCTAGGACCCTGCATCCACTCTGGTCACCTGGGACCCTTCCCACGTGGAGCGGGGGGGGGGAGGTAGCATCTGTGAGAGGGCGCCCTTTCTGTCTTCCCAAGCCTTCCCCAGCCACGCTCTGTCACTGCTACCTCGCAAGATAGCTGGTGTCCCCCGGAAGAGGCTTCCTGAAAACTGGAACTTGCGATCCACCTGCCTCAGCCTTTCCAGCAGCCGGGAAGTCAGAAGCACATCACAGCCCCTTAGCTGTGAAATCCCATTCCTTAACTTGCGCTCCTGTCTATGTCCCAGGACCTTTCTATGCCCCCGGAGGGAAGAAGTGTGACTGTATTGTTCAGTTCTGTGTCCCCCGTCCCTAAAGCCCGGTCAGGGAGAACTGTGGGTAATAAGTGTCCCCTGGGGCAGGGTTGGGGCGTGGCCACGAGAGGGCGGGACTAAAGGACAGCCTGGACTGCAGTTCCTCATGTGGCCGCGTGGTGGTGAGAGAGACAAAGTTCTTTCTGTGTCTCCCCCCCGCCCCCCGCGGCACCCCGACAGCCGGGTTTGTTGCATGTGCTGTCAGCTCCACTTCAGCCAGGCGTGGTGCACTGTAACCCAGCACTCGGGGCCAGGAGTAAGGACTGCGAGTTCATTTATATACATACGTACGGATTTGTCTAAGACAACACCCCTCCTATTGCCAGCTCTTCTACCCGACTGTCTTGGATTTTTTCTTTTCTGGTACTGAAGATTAAACTCAGAGACTGCATCGTGCCCCTTTCTCTCCCTTTTCTGTTTTTTTGTATCTTGAGACAGAATTTCCCTAGCTCTCCAAGCTGCTCGCTGGTCTGGACGGAACTTCGGTCCTCCGGTCTCAGCCTCCTGAGCGCTGGGATCCGTATGTGCTACCACGCCCTGCGTCAGACATACTTTGGTTTTTGGTTTGTCTTTTTGTTTCCCTGTGCAGTGCATGCGGGCCTTGAACTCCCTGCACAGCCCAGGCTAGCCTCAAACTCATGGCCACCCTGCCGCTGGCCCTCCAGTGCTGGGGTCCCAGGCGCATGCCGCCACGCCCCCACCTAACGTTCTCAACCAAAAGTGAAACCTAGCAAATAGAGCTGCGCCCTGTCACCCATTGGAGACCACAGAGGACTGTGGCGCTCCTCAGCCGCAGCCCCACCACGCACATCCTCGCGCACCTGCCGTCTGGGGCTGTGTGAGCGCGCAGCACACTGAAAGCGCCCCTAAATCATTGCTCCTACATGCCAGTGCCCTCGCATCAGCCCCACGCCCTGTGGGCTTGGGACAGCTCCTCAAACACACTGTGCCTCCGTGTAAGATGGAGGTAACAGTGCTCCTGCCTCCAGGGACGACCGTGCAGGCAATGGGCCTAGATCCTCGTTGAGTAAGCGCGCCTCGCCGCTGCTATTAGAAGTATTTAAAATGCTGAAACGCGGTGCCGTGTGCCTCATCCCAGCACTCTGGAAAGCCGAGGCAGGAGGATCGCAAGTTCAAGTCCAGCCTGGGCAAATTAGTGACTTAGCAAAGCCCTGGCTCACTGAAGTCTTCTATTTTAATCCCAATCCCCTTTCCAGATTTGCCACTCATACCCTCTTCCACTCTGGAGGGCATCTTTTTCTTAAAGCACTTTTAAAAAAATTATTTATTTTATTTATTTATTTTGTGTG